TTTTTTTTTTTTTTTGGGACAAATGCTCCAGTCTATTCGCGGGGAGCAGCACGTGCTGGGAACCGGGCCCAGCGTCCCATATAGGATTACACAAGTCATTTAAGATACCGGGGCCATTACCCGGCTTCGGCTGAGAATCATTCTGAGAACTATTGAGAACTATTGAATGACTACTGGCCTCTTTTCAAATGTTCAGAACCCCTAGACTCCCAAACAAAACTTTTTTTTTTTTTTTTTTTTTTGGAGAAATGGCTCAGTCTGTTGGTGGGGAGCATCACCTGCTGGAAAACGGGTCCACCGTCCCTTTTTACAAAACGAGGTTTGGAACACGTCTGAAACACAATCAGAAGAACTGAGAGAGGTACCTGCCAGCATTGATTACCCTGGAGTCCAGGGGATTGACTGAGCAAGGCTTTGGCTGTTGCTTCATTTGTGTTGTTGTCATGCGTGTCTCCCGAGTGGTGCCCGGGCTCCCGAGGGGCACCGAAGGCCGGGAAGTCTCAGGACACAGGGCTAATAAGGAGAATGACTATTTCAGACCCTATTTGAAGGAAGTGAGTGACTGTGACAAAGGCACTGTTTGGAAGGATTGAAAGAGGTGACTGTTAAGAAAAGACAGAAAAGAAAAGGAAACAAGGAAACATACAAAAAAACAAAAACAAAAAAAAAACAAAGAAAAAAGAAAAAGGACCACTACAGGTGATGAAATGAGAGAGGAGAACACGGGTGTGAGTGTGAGCGCGAGTGGGTTGTGTGTGGTGTGTGGGAGAGTGTTGGCCATAGCCTCTGCTGCTACTTGATGAAGGGTGGGGGACGATGAGAAAGGGAGGCACAGGTACTGGCAGGTCTCGGTCTTTGTGTTAGCCAGACCCCCACTGGCGGCCCCAACCCTATACCCTAAACATTAGGGGCAAGGGGCAACATGAAATCTCCCCTTCACAGAGAGAGGAAAAACTATGCTTGCAGGGGTCCCCTCTAGATAGTCTTAAGAGTAGGTAGTGGAAGGTAAAGAAAGGAAAGGGAAATAAAAAAAAAGGGAGAAAAAGAAAGAAAAAGAAATGAGAGAGGAGATAGAAGAGAAATGGGGGGGGAGAAGAATGGGAGTGAGGGGATGGAAAAAGGAAAAGGAGGAGGGATCAGTCCGTCCTTGCCTCAACTAGGGTGAGCGGGTGTGGAGGGAAAGGGTCTGGGAAGTCAGATGAGGGGCGCATTGGGAAAGTGGGTTCTATATTTGTCCAGTCGTTAAGGATCAGACGATAGTCCCTGCATTCCTCTCTCCCCCACGGTTGCCCTTCGTCCTTATCCCCCCCCCAATTCCACTTTCGCTATCCATCCTCCCCTGTCTCCTCCTAGCCAGGCTTTGCAGAAGGAGGAAAGTGCTCGCTTGATGTCTGTGTATGTCTGAAAGAGGTCCAGTTGGGGTTTCAAATCCTGCCATCTCCTCGTTATTTCCATATTTATCTACTGTTGGATCTGTTCAGTTACTTCTGGCCCTTCCACCCTCACCCCTTCTATTGCCAGGAGGCATCTTTGCCACCAAAGTCCCCATAAGATTGCTCTTCGTCCCAATTTAAACATATTCTCCACGAAATCAGATGCCTCCTGGGCTTGTGGCCAGTAGCCTGTGAGTATGGCCCTCCATGGCCATGACCATGGCGGGTCAAGGACCATCTTTCTCCATATCCTGTCCCACCACCGCCACGTCAGTTTCGCCGTGGGGCATTGCATGAAGACGTGCTCGATGGTTTCTGCCCACTTGCTTGTCGGAAAAGCTTGCAAGCATCGCGGGCACCAAGGTAGGGCATGTCCTTTCTGTTCCAGATTTGTATGATCAATCAGCCAGTTCATAGTAGGAAGGCAGCGATGAGCTATCTGCCATTGTAAAGAGGTGATTTTTGCTGGCTTTGTTTTCGTTCTTGGAACCAGGGGATTGGTGTGAGTGATGAGCGGTGTTTTGCCCATCTATCATTTATCACGTCCCTCAATGGTCTCTTAGGTCTGAGCATTTTGTACGTGGATTTGACAGTCAATTTGTGGAGGCAAATCTTCTTTGTGGGACCTGTCCTTCGCCCTGCTGGCATCCACTCAAATTCCTTTGGTCCAAAGGTAAATCTTGTATTCCTGTGGATGGTTGGAAAACCCAGGCTTCCTCACCCTCGCCCTGGACTCGTACCCAGAATATTTCCGTTGTGTCCATCCAGGTGAAGGAGTCCCAACTGCCCTGCAAAGAGCCTGATCGACAAAGTGCATATCCTTCTACTAGTGCCTCCCCGGACCTTACCCCATGTACTCTTCCAATGTGTCCGGGATCTCTTCTGAGCCCGACCCAGTCTCCTTCCTTCAGTGAGGGGCCTTTTCTCAATTTCCTATACCACGAAAGTGGTATTCTTTCAATGAGTTTTTCCAGATTTTGTGTGATGTGGTGACAATATTTGAGTGTGGAGCGTAGTTCCTCTGCTGTTTTCCAGTCTTTTCGCTCTTTGTTCCATATGTCACCTATTCTGATTACCCCTTGCTTTACCCACCCTTTCCACGGGGATGTTGAGTTGTTCATCACTTGTCCCTGCCTATCCGTGAGCCATCGGTTCCCAAAGAGGAGTTGGCGAAAAACCTCCTCCCACCGGTCCGGAGGTTGCCTTTCCGGGGGAGGGAGTCGTCGCCAGCTCCTCAATAGTGAGGGTCAAAATTGGTCCATGGCTCCCTTCAGGTTTTCTCTGTTCGACCATTTTCTTGGGATTGTC